CCAGATGGATTTGCACTAAATGTAAGGTACATTTGTGCCTTCAGAAAAATAGCAACTGTTTCAAGAACTTTCACAAAAATTGATTTGGAATGAACACAATTTTTTATATTTGATATTATAAAACCATTGTTCTTTCGTTTTTCAATAAATATCATAATATGTTTCATCGACTACTGATGTCTACAATTGTAGACACTTTTTTTTTCGTACTACTAGGGGTGTCAATTCCAAAAAAATGTTCGAAGTGTTTGCAAATATCATATTTTGACAATATATGACCAAAATATAATTTTTACTCTTGAAACAAAAACTCGTGAGTCAAAGGGTTAATATCTGACAAACAATTTGGATTCAAAAAAGGAATTTCTACAGAACATGCAATAAACTTCTTAAAAAATAATATTTATAATCAACTCGATAAAAATAAAGCATTTTTATTGGTATTTTTAGATTTAACTAAAGCATTCGACACAGTTGATCATAAAAAATTAATTGATGTTCTTGACAGCTTTGGAATTAGAGGGATAGCATTAGAAGTTTTTAAATCATATTTAAACAACAGAAAGCAATATGTTAAAGTAAATGAAGTTATAAGTGAACCATCTATAATAACGTATGGTGTCCCACAGGGCACTGTACTTGGTCCGATACTATTTTCTATGTATATAAATGGACTTTTAAACTATAAATCTGAAGGACTGATTTCATCATTCCATCATTCGCAGATGACACTGTCATCCAGTACAGCGGGAATACTTGGAAAGAAATAAAAAAAATAGCTGAAGCAGATATGAGCAATATAAAATCATGGTTTGATGAAATGAGTCTTACTATAACTTTCGAGAAAACAAAATATATTCCATTTACCTGCAATAAAAGTACACATACCGCCCTTGGTTAAAAGTCATTTCATTTAGAGACTATTAAAAATGTTTCGGGAAATATTGCAACAGCTCTGCCCACAATGCGTCGGAGTAAGAAACACTGCACTAGCAGTGTTGCCAACCTGAAAATTCTAAAATCGGTAGATTCTTTCGTCAAAATCGGTAGAAATCGGTAGATTTGAAAAAAAGCACATTTGAAAAATTATTTAAAATATAAAACGGACTCCATTTGAATTTTACAAAAAGTACAATGGGAAAAACATTATTTTGTGAATGTACAAAAATAGAATAACACAAACACTAAAAAATACACAATATTCTTAATATCCAATTTAATCTTCCTTGTCTAAATTGTTTTGTTCATAAACGACAGTAACTGTTTTTTAACGGGAAAAGTGTAACAATTGCTGTTACTTATATATGTTTGTTAGCATGTAGCAATTCTTTCTACATTAGCTAAAGAATGTGGGACACATAATATATTGAAAGCGAAGGAACTCAAATTAAGGAACATTGCAGTTCCGTCACCCATTTTCAATTTATTTACTTCTTGCCAAAATGACGTGGCGTCGTCTGAAAAACCCCGAATTTTCTAAACATTGTCAAGTAGATATTTGCATTTGGTTTTCTGTTATTACATTTGTAAATAAAAGTGCTACTTTCGAAATAGAGTTTATAGAACCATCTTTCACTATATCAGGATCGATAAAATTGAAATTAAAAAAAAAAAATCAAATCAAACATGTAGATTAATTTCTAAATCGGTATATCGGCAGAATGATTCCAAAATCGGTAGATCTACCGAAAAACCGGTAGGGTTGGCAACACTGGTACGAAAATTAATTGGTGGGAACGCTTAATGTGTCGCAATAAAACTCGAAACTATTCTAATTAATAAAACTTGTTGTTATTAGTGAGTTATAGGTAAAAACTATTTTTAAATATGAAAGGGATTAACTATACAGCCTGGCAACAGCGCACCAAGCAACGCATGTCGGTTCTTTTACAAAATCGCTACGCGGTACGTTTCTTTGTAATATTAGACCAAGTTTAATGGTAAATAAATGTATCTGTTGTTTCTATAATCTAAGGAATAGATGGATTGCCTATAGGAACATCATCAAAGCATACACAGAAATGTTAATAATTCTTTTACAAATAACTTTTAATAAATCACTATAGTCTATTTTTATGTATGAGAGAGTATTAAAATAATAAAGCGTTCGTAATCCATAGGCGTATCACTTCTTTTAGTAGATAGTTAAAATATTTTTTGAAGTTATTCCTCGAGTATACACTTATATTTTCACCTAATTAACCTGCTTATAACTTCTAAACAGCTGAAGGTAAAAAAGTGCAATTGTTTCTAAAATGTTTTATTTTTCCACAAGGTATGTTAAGAACATTGTGTCAAACGGGTTATGTAGGTATAAGGGTTTAAACTTTAACTTTTAAACAACGTTACGTTCATAAATAATAATTTTAATATAAAAACTACTTCTTACCTACAAATCCAAATCAGAATCGAAATCAGAAGATGAACTGTCGCAACCAATATTTACAATGAGTGGCTCGATCATTTCATCAGTAATATTGTCCAACTTCCACATTTTCTCTTCTTCTTTACTAGTATGATTTACTGCCTTTTCCCAGTTTTCAGGCTTCACATTATTTACAGCCTCCAAAAACAACTGTTTAACATCACTCATTTTAAAAGAATTATTTTTTCTTGAAATTTCTCCCTTTATCTGTGCCCATATCAGTTCAATCGGGTTTACTTCGCAATGATATGGTGGTGATCTAACCACCGTCATCCCACGATTTTTTGCAATTTCATCAATTTCATATTTTTTGAATTTCTCTTTATGAAGGGAACACAAATGATACAGTTCTTTTCTCACAGAACCGGGATGGAACTTAATATTCTTTGAATTTAGCCAATTCTGTAAATCTTTTTTTAACCACTTGGTTGTAGGCATTTTTTCTATAAGTCTCGAGTGATAACTTGCATTATCCATTACTATTATACAGTTCTGAGGAAGAAGATCTATAATTTGTTCGAACCACTCTTTAAAGACATCAGCATTCATGTCCTCATGGTAGTCACCGGTACGAATAGATTCAAAAGTCAATAAACCACCTTTAACAAAACCGTTTGAACTACCGATGTGTACTATTATTAGTCTGCGACCCTTTCCTGATGGTGGATTTAAACCAGTAGATAAATTATTTAAAAAAGCCTGTCTTCGTCTTGTAACAGTTTCATCTTGCCAAAATTTTTTTGGTTTATGTCCCTTGTGGTTTATGACCCTCGTTGATCCATGTTTCATCTAAATAAAATATATTTTTTCTTTGTTTTCTCATTTCTTTTATAGTCCTTAGGTAATTTCTTCTCCATACTACAATATCGCTTCTTTCTATTAAAATAGACTTTCTGGAATGCTTTTTCCATAGAAAACCTATTTCTTTTAAAAGTTTTCATAGTGTGCTTCGACTCATTTCAGGGTAATCCTTATCATCTCGAACCGTGGCAAGAACTTTGTCTACTGTCGGAAATTCTTTTCTAAAGAAGAACGCATGCACTTTCCTTCGAAGTCTTTCTTTCAAAAGATTTTCTAATTGAAATTTTGGTTTTCCTGGAGTTTTACGTGCTGTTTGAAACTCGTCACATTTCTCTTCTTTATCAACTCTGTAAATCGTAGATTTCCCAACACCAAGCGTACTACTAGCTAATTCCACTGTGTCATCAACACTTTTACATAAATGTTTTTCTGTAAATGATTTAAAACAATTAAATATTAATGTTTTTTCATTAACTGTTAAAGGACCGATTTTTTGTCGTTTACGCGGCCCTTCCAAATTTTCCTTGATCACACTAGAATTCACACTGCACCTTACAAGTCGCAACTAAACGACATTTAGTAAACTGTCAAGAATACACAACTTGGACCTCCTTACTAAATGGAAAACCTATAACCACATTTTTGGTGAAATTTGTTGGGAAGGTATTTATCTACTTATAATTCGTTTACTGTAAGAAATTCTTGGAATTAAAATAAAACAAAATTGGCAAATAGGTACTTATTGAAAAAAATCTTAAGATACGGCTATGTAATCTTTAAAACACAGGGCTTTTGGCCTGTCCTATTGTTCTCTACAGCTTATGTTTATAAAGGACCAATAAAAGACCCAAAACTTGTAATAGCTCAGGTACATTTATTACAATTTTAGGAAATATTTAGATTATTCTGTAAAAATATTTAAAATGACCGTACTGAGTTTTGCATTAGAAATGCTGTTTTATTACTCTCTCATACATAAAAATAGACTGTAGATCATTTCAAAATAGGTAGAATAACAGCTAATCAAAAATCGGAAAACACAAATTTGCATGAAAATTATAGACCAATAAGAAATATTACCAACATCATCTAAAATATTTGAAAAAGTTATTTACAACCACATTTACAATCATGGATTTTTTCCCAAAAAATCAACATTTACCTATCTTTGTATTATGCAGCTTCTCAAATTGACCATGGTCAAATTAACATGATACACAGATAGCAAAGGCATTTGATAAGGTAAATCATAATGTTCTATTAGGAAAACTAAAAGATTTTGGTTTCAGTTAAAATTTAATAAATTTTATCATCATAATCGTAATATTATTGTTAAAAATGTAACATTTTAGTGTCAAACACATTTACAAATGCTTCAGAAGTACCACATGTATCCATACTAGGACCCCTACTTTTTATCCTGTTTATAAATAAATAAATAAATTTATAAATATTAGTGAATACGTTAAGATATCGAAATTTTTACCTTCTGTGGATGACATGAAACTATTTATAAAAATATTTAAAATATTTAAGTGGTGTGTGTAGTGCCAATGCCTGCCATGGACGTCATCGATGACGTGCATTGGATTTTAAAATGAACACCAGTATGGTTTCTCTATTATCTACTTATTAAAAATTAATAATTTTGCGTTAATTAAAATTGACCAGAATATCAAAACCAACAAAACCTTTTGAACATTCGGACTCGCTTTCGTCAGTAAGTAAAATTCATACATTTTACTACAACATTTATTTTTTCTTCTTTTTACAGATATCAAAGCCGACCAACAGGAGCAAACGGAACACAAAAGACGTATAAATTACATCAAATGGGTTTGTTTCCTGATCGTAGCCACCCTTGGAATTTTGACAACAGTTAAATTGACATTTAAAAATCTTCAACACGACATACAAGAGATCGTCGAACACCACAGAAATATGAACTTTTTTGCTATACCAGATTGGGGTGGTGTAGTTGTTAATACGACGGGTTTCAAGAGTAATTTGTACATGCCTGTACCGTTTGTTATTATCAAACATACGGGGGGCACTTTTTGTCAAACAGAGTCCGAATGTAAACAGTTAACGAAGGAACTGCAGTCGAAACACTTAGCATTAAACTACAGCGACATAGCTTATAATTTTTTAGTTGGAGGAGACGGAAATTTATATGTGGGAAGGGGATTTGGCTATCCAAATATATATAGCAGATTCAGTTATGACATAGCCATACACGGGAATTTTTTGTATGATCAATTTTATGATTATATGGAAAATACAACGAGGTATATTATAGAAATTGGTGTTTCTTTAGGTGCTATTGATCCATATTATGTTGTTTTGTGCGAAAATCAAACGCAGAAGGTGGATAGTCCCGGCAGGAACATATACGAGAAAGTCAAATTGTGGGATCATTATCGTAATTATACTTTCTTTAATACACAGTTTCCTAGATGACTGACAGTTGACAAGCACTGCAATTTTGCCAAATTTATTGAATCGTACCCATGTCTGCGTTAATTATTTGCACGCGTAATGGGTTTAATTAAAATATTTGCAAATAATGAAACGGCGAGGTCTCAGTTCCTTTTTTGTATTCGCATGCATCTAATCTTCTAAGATTAATCAACAAACAATAAGTTAATTTACTATAAAATTTTAAATCTAGATTTCACCTATGTGTATGTTATGTTATGTTAGGAACAGGGTGTTAATACACTGCGACCTAAAAGATCTATTGTATCCCCTTCTGTCGCCAATGCACCAAGGAAATGTCTCAATACCCATAACGACCCTTCCAATCCTATTTTCCTAAGGAAGTGTAGGATTTGAAGTGGCTTCAAGTTAGGTAAATCTCCCTCTTCTATTTGATATCCTCCTAGATATAGTGTGCCCTTGGATTCTGGAGTGGTTGACTAGGCTAGCTCAGAGGCAGAAAATACGATTTGTATTTGTAAATCATCTTCCTCTGTATTAGGAATATTTCTGCAGTCCCTACTTAATAGATCAGCAATAGGTATTTTTGGACCTTGTATTCTTGAGTGCTACACATTCAGTTAGGATGTGAATGGAGGTTTCATCCTTTTCCTCACAGAATCTGCACTCATAATCCTCTACTACCCTCAGTTTACTTAGGTGTCCTTTTAGTCGACAATGCCCGGTAAGGATTCCTGTTAGAATACTGTTCTTGCTCAGGCAGATGCGGGGTTCCGATCTTTTCTGGTTATATTCACCCAGAAGTGTATTGGCCTGTCTCAGCCCTAAGAGATTGTTCCAATTATCGGTTCTTCTACTGCCCAATTGTTTTTTAATCTCTCCTAATATTATGTTACTGCTGATACCGCAGAACGGCTCAGGTCCTACAAAGGGTGTTTGAGCCCCTTTCCTTGCAAGTCTGTTTGCAATCTCGTTACCTTGTACCCCGTTATGTCCCGGGACCCAAGTGAGAGTAACTCTATTTTCCTCACTTAGCTCATTCAATTGTTCTAGGCATCTTCAGACCTGATTACGTAAGAGCTCAGCGCTTTGATGGCTGCTTGTCTATCGGTTATGATGATAATCTCTTGTCTATGATAGTTTCTCTCGATGTTAAACTGGATACACTTCTCGATGGCGTGAATTTGCGCCTGGAAGATGCTTGGGTATTTTCCCAAGCTTTCGGAGTGCTTGGTTCTCGGCCCATACACTCCTATTTCAGTTCCTTCTATGGTTTTGGAACCGTCCGTATTACACTGAACAGCACGTTTGGATTCTTGGCTCCATTTTTACTTGCAGCCGAGCTCTGTGGCTTTGAAGTTTTTCACAAAACTGTACTTCTTTAGCATTTCATCCTGGGGTATGTCCCAGGTATCTTTATTCCTGAAGCAAGTAGACTTTCGTCTGATTACTCCGTTTCTGATTATTCTATATCATGTCCTTTTTGCTACATTCTCTATCATCAAATGTAGAGGAATGAGGCTTAAGATCACCTCCATTGCAGCCGTAGGACAGGTTCTCATTGCACCAGTAATGCAAACACAGGCTAGTCTTTGTACTTTTGAGATATTAGCTCTCGTATTAGCTAAACTAGTTCTGTTAGTCCAGACTATAGCCCCGTAAGTGATGATTGGTCTCACTATTGCAGTATACATCCATCGCAGTATGTTTAGGTTACATCCCCATCGTTTGCCTGTAATGTTTCTGCATACCATTATGTGTGTTCCAGAGAAGTTTGTTGTCCAGGGTTAGACCTAGATATTTGACTTCATTTTTTCATTCTTTATCTATCCCGTCTAATTTAACGGTTTTGAGATTAAGTTTTCTTTTCCTTGAAAAGGCTACTGGTGTTGTTTTTGTAGGGTTTATATTAAGTCCCACTCACGGCACCATCTTTTGGTATGTTCTAGTCCTCGTTGGACTATATCACACAGGATATTACTAAACTCGCCTTTAGCAAATATGACTATATCATCGGCATAACCTTGACAGGGTATGCCGAGGTCAGTCAATCTGCATAGAAGTTCGTCTACGGTTAGGTTCCACATAAGTAGGGATATAACTCCTCCTTGTGGATATCCTCTGGTGGTTGTGCATATGGAGATGGTGTCCTGCCCTATCTGTGTTTCTGCAGTTCTCGTAGGTAACAGCTGATCCATTCATCTGGATGTTATGTTATCTACGCCTCTGTAAGCAAGTGCTCTTTTTACATATTCATGGTGCATGTTGTCAAAAGCTCCTTCTATGTCTAGGAAGGTACACACGACCGTTTCTTTGTTTGTCAGTGCATCCTGGATTACGTCAGTCAACTGTACCAGGTCAGTTTCTGTAGATCTTCTTGCTCGGTACGCGTGTTGGCTGTGGTGAAATGGCACCCTCTCCAAGACTTCCGTCCTGATATAATTATCAACAGCCTTCTTCATTGTTTTTAATACAAAGGATGTGAGGCTGATTGGTCGGAACGATTTAGGATGTGTGGCATCCTTTTTCCCTACTTTTGCAATAAAGGTGACTGGCCCTTCTCCATGCTTCTGGTATATATTCCAGCTCCAATTATAAATGGTTAATTTGTGGTTAAATTTTATGAGAAAATATTTGCCTATAGGCTTTTCGTTCAAATAAATTGTACTGCTCCGGGATAGCCGGATTATGGGTGGTAATAATTCCTCCTGTGCCTGCTGAAGCAGGGTAGGAAATATTCCATCCACACCTGGAGACTTAAACGGTTCAAAAGTGTTTACGGCCCACTTTAACCGATTTCTGCTGCATATGTGTTTGGCCACTACAGCGGCCTCTCTTGGGGGCCTGCTTAACTTAGTAGTGTCCCTTATTAATACACCTGTGTGTAATATTATAGTCTGAATAAAAGAAGAGTGCAGTCAAAGTGGGGATATAACGTCTCATTCCATATTTTGCTATTTAAGTTTCTATAATGTAAACAAGTTATATAAAATGGTATATTCTTAGATTAAATTTTGAATGAAAAAATTTATAATATTTACAGAAATAAAAATAAACCTTATGCTTCTGACAAAATTGTTGCTCTTTAACATTGAATGAATTAAATAATTTAACTAATAAATACATATTTTGTTAATGGAATTTTTTTTAATCTTTTGGCATTAAAAGTAACACTTCAGTACCTAAAATCGAAGATTAAAAAAAAAAACAAAAAGTTCAAGAACTATCTTTAAAAGTCATTGTCTTCACTATAGAGCGATATCTATTCAACTCAAATAAATTTTTGTGCCTACGTCAATAGTAGAAAAAGTTCTAGTAAAGTTGCTAATAACATGACCTATGAAAATAATACACTTTTTTCTGCCTCTTCTATATGGTTTTTGCGCCACTTTAGGAACAGCACTGTTAATTAGAACCCAACAGTGAATGGTCGAGTGGGGAATCCTTGGTAGGATTCCCCACTCGACCATTCACTGTGGGGTTCTAATTAACAGTGCTGTTCCTAAAGTGGCGCAAGGAAACAGTAACAAGGCCTGTCTGTAGGGGTGTAGGAGTATTAGAGTACTAATACTTCTGCACTATGGAGTATTAGACTACTAGTACAATCCATAACCTACATAGAACACTAGGCTAATGACCTTAGATGTTGAAGCCGTACACTAAAGAAAAAAAAAAAAAAAAAAAAAAAAAAAAAAAAAAAAAAAAAATTGGAGAAGTAAAATGGCCATTTTAAAAAAGAAGGTAAATTAGAAATAATATTTAAAGTAACAAGAAAATAGCAAATGTCACTGGTGACAGATTAACTTTGATTCAGTAGAATCCATTACCAATATTCCCATTGTAAATTTGATTTCCCATGCCAAATACCAAGTGTATTTGCTGTCATAATTTTCATGAAAAAATATTCCTAGTTGATACAACAAATATCATCAAAAGTAAATGCGATGTTGCCAAACATAAAATTTCTTCCGATGATTTAAAGACAAATAGGATTGCAAGCTAATGTATTTACATTACTATTGTTAAAAACACCGTAAACTTGGAATCAATGTTCAATCAGATTATTGTGTTTCTGCCGCAAAAACCAACATTGAGAATAGCATCAGAATACTTTCTAATTCAATATAGTGGCATACGTCATTATGAACTTGATTTTTAATTAATTTATAAGTAAAACAAAAATAATAGTTTTAATATTTGCACATATTTTAATTACACAAAAAAAGTAGCTATCTATAATTTTTTAAATGTACATCTAAAGCAGCAATTCTTTTATATAGGTACTCAAAAAAAAAAAAATGAAAAAGTAAATAAAAAATTGTAGCAAAGTAGAGAGATATTGCAAGTTCATTTAAGGCACATACTTGGATTTTTTTTACTATACGGAGAATGGTCGCACTGCGCAGCTTTCTGAGTGCCTTTTAAAAGGAGATAGAAAACTCTGCCATTTTGATCCCTTATTACGTGTTGCCTACATCTTGGCGCAATATTTTTATTAGGTGCGTTTTAATCATCCGCTTCTGCTTCGGAATTGTCGGTTTTCTTGTTTTAATCTGACAGTTTAAAACGACTAAACCGACAAATCCGGAAGCAGAAGCGGATGATTAAAACGCACCTGACATTTTGCTTGCTGCTGTCAGTGTCAGTGAATATTATTTTTGAAGTCACAGTTTATGGCTAAAGAATCAGTTAGCTCACTCGGACTAGTTGAAAGTTCCAAAATAACATCCACTCTGGATACAAATTCAGGATACGAAGAAGACTGCTGTTTTATTATAGGCGGTTGTCATATATTGTATTATCCAAGTTGCGCAGTGTATAAACTGGAACATTAAGATCAAAAGTGCCGAAGCAGAGTGAGCGATCTGATTCTTTAGCTATAAACTGTGTCATAGGGTTCAAAATGGCCGCGCCCTATGTTGGGCGTGTCGGACCTCTCTCTTGCACCGTATAGTAATCAAAGTATGTGGCGCCGCTCTTATTTTGACATCTGAGCATGCGCAGATTGTTTAATTTCTAGAACTGACTTTATTAAATATAGTGCCTGTCCAGAGGACTTCTATACAAGGGAAGTGCAAACAACTTGACAATTTTTTTGTGACACTAATAACATAAGAAATCGGGTCACATAAAGAGGCTGTTTTTTTGTTGAATTTTTGGTTTTTCTTATCTACTTTTATGCCGTTTAGATACCATGTTGTACCCGTAACGTAAAAAATACTTTTTATTATAGGGTATTTTACATTTAAAGGTTGAAAACATTTGTGAATGTTTAATGGCAGCAAACAATGAACTGTAGTGGGGTAGAAAGCCAATGTGCATATTAGGCATTCCCACGACCTGTCAAACAATAGGTGCCAGTGGGAAATTCTTGTATATTTAAGGGGGTAGCGACATAGTCTTGCAACTTGGACGCTATTTTTATTCGAAGTAGTACTCGCCAAGCCTGCCAATTTATGAAGAAATGTATAGGTGGGTTTTTTTAAATATAATTTTTATTGTGTTTGACATAAAATATTTAAATGTAATCCATTATTCATGATTTTACGTAAAGTAGATAGAATACACCATATGTCGCCACCCTTAGATATACCAAACCTGCCCACTGGTAATTCATTTGTTTGGAATGCCTAATTGTATCAATAGAACAAGATGCGACTCTATGGGCGCAGCCATTTTTATTGCTCATCTCACCCGGGACTATTTAAAATAACCATTTTCTGTTTCACATTGTTATTGTTCAATCCACAAGCTGGTGGATCAGACAATAATAATGTGAAATAGAAAATGGTTATTATAAATACTCCCGAGTGAGATGAAAAATAACCTGCCTGCGCCCATAGAGTCGCATCTCAAGATTATTGACAAGCATTCTACCCCATTATAAAATGATACTGTATAGATCTAAGTTAAATTGTACCTATTGATATTGAAAGAAAATATATTTTGTAAAAAATAAAACACTTTTTTTGATATCCCAACCCTCCCCCCATATAACGAACTAAAATATTTGTATTTTGATGAGTGAATGTTGTTTTTATAGGCATGTAAATGCAGGAACTTTTATAATGGATAACATTTTCTGTATTATAGAAGAGTTAGAATTTTATTCTGACTGTTCTACAGATAAATGGTGAGGACACCAAGGTCAAACGGTACATGAGCGTATCACGTGACATCTTCTCTCTCTATAATTATCAAGTTATAACAGTGTTTTGCAGCCTTGCAAAAAGCATTATGACTTCAAAGGTCACTATTGAATATGTTAAACTGCTATTTTTGTCATATAACTATGTCTGAAGTTAAAAAATATCTTATCTTGATAGGTTGAGATTAAGACACTTATTTAGTATAGTCCGCCAATGTACAATGTACGAATAATTCGACAGAAAAAACAAATAATGATATTTTTTTTAAATATTTTGAATATTTGAATCTTAAACTCTTAGAAATCATTTGATTACTTTAAGATTAGATTTGAAGATTTGTTACGTTAAAGAGGGTCATTTGGTACAAGGTGTTTCTAGTTAAAATATTAAATAATATGTTTTTTTTGTTCATGTTCACAAATTTTTAAGAATACCTATCAACAGATAAGAAAAACTTGATTTTATCTTTGATTCCTTATATTAGCAAACATATCCTTCATCTAGATGAAGAATGAGACAAGAATTTAAACATTTTCATGAGTAACTCCCTATTTTCCCAAATTCTCAGAACCACTTTTAAATTTGATAAATTGGCTCTTTGAAATTTCACTAATGCTTTAAAAATTGCTGCGATACTACCTGTTCCAAAGGCTTATTAACATGTTAAGTCGTATCGAAAAAGTCACAGAGAAGGTCGTTTATGAACACATTGGCGGCGTTCATCCGCGCCGTTTCAAGAAGCGCTACAAAAGTAGCGATCACTTACGCTACCTGATCGATCTTTATGCACGGATGAACCATGTTTAAAAGTGACATTTGACATTTGATTGTGGTTTATTCACATACTTTGATTTTCTTTTACGCTCACACACTTTGATTTTTTTTTATTATACGGAGAATGGTCGCACTGCGCAGCTTTCTGAGTGCCTTTTAAAAGAAGATAGAAAACTCCGCCATTTTGAACCCTTATTACGTGTTGCCTACATCTTGGCGCAATATTTTTAATAGGTGCGTTTTAATCATCCGCTTCTGCTTCGGAATTGTCGGTTTTCTTGTTTTAATCTGACAGGTTAGAACGACTGAACCGACAATTCCGGAAGCAGAAGCGGATAATTAAAACGCACCTGATATTTTGCTTGCTGCTGTCAATGTCAGTGAATATTATTTTTGGAGTCACAGTTTATTGCTAAAGAATCAGTTAGCTCACTCGGACCAGTTGAAAGTTCCAAAATAATATCCACTCCAGGGATACAAATTCAGGATACGCAGCAGACTGCTGTTTTATTATAGGCGGTTGTCATATATTGTATTATCTGAGTTGCGCAGTGTATAAACTGGAACATTGAGATAAAAAGTGCCGACGCAGAGTGAGCGATCTGATTCTTTAGCTATAAACTGTGTCATAGGGTTCAAAATGGCCGCGCCCTATGTTGGGCGTGTCGGACCTCTCTCTTGCCCCGTATAGTAATCAAAGTATGTGGCTACTTTTAATGGCGGCCGCTCCTTGAGCGAAATGTCAAAATACACCGTTCATACGTGCCACTCGAGAGCGCTACCAGATCGATCAGGTAGCATGTTACGCGGATGAACGCAGCCATTATTGATTTTCTAGTCTAAAACATAATAAACTTATTACTAAAATTCAATTGGGCTTCAGAAGCAAGCATAACTGGAAATTAGCTAGTCATCATAGGTTTGAGAAGGTTCAAAGGAGCTATAGGGACCGTGCCTCATAACTTTAACGCCAACTGGTGACAAAAATGTGAACTTTTTGGGGGGGATTTATTAATGTTTTATACGGCATTTATAATAAATATTTTCGTAATATCATTTTCGAAATAACTTGTTGCATCCGTGGATGTATAAACACATCACTTTGGAAACATGGATTTGATTCGATGAGAAAGAAATTTTATAAATTTCCACAGAGCACACTTACAGCCGTATGCATAGTCGATTGCCAGCGATTCGCCAGCGGATCACTGCTGATACCGTCGAGATGAATCTCTAGCGAATCCTGGCGACTTGCTGGAGATTGTCACCAGCATGTCATCTCTCGCAAGTTTTCATGTTTTTTTATAGGAAAAATTAGTTTTCATGTTCTTTTATGGGGAAAAATTTGATATTCGTTCATTGTTTTTTGAGTTTTAAGAAATGAATCATGAATAACATGCAATAGATGCCGGTGACAATATCCAGCAAGTCGCCACCTTTTAGGTCTTTCGCCAGCGGATCGCTGGCGATCGACTATGCATACAGGTGTTAGTGTCTCACACCCAATGATATACATAATTACATGGATTGCTTATTTATATCTAAATCAGACGACGAAAAGCGCATTTCACTGGGCAAAGTTTTCTTTTTATCTATTTTGTATCAATTTTAAAAACTTTGTAAACAAATGATTTATAGAACTGGTTTAGTGTTATCTTGTCATTAAGATTTTTACATATTTTTACACATTTTATATAAATATAATTTTACAGATAGGTGATGGTTTATTCTGTTAATTAAAACTAATGTAAAATGTTACCGTGAAATTAGAATGTTCAATGGCCCTCTTTAAAATTTATTAACTATTTCTCATTTATCACTAAAATAAACAAATCATAGTTAATACATTGCAATAACTGTCAAAAGAGATTGCAACAAACTTTAAAATATTAAAAATCCAGTGACTTTTTGTAAAACTTCAGTAACATTTCCTTTAAACATTACTCAGAACAATAGATAAGTGTTCAATTACAACTGTTATATCTCATATCAAAGTTGTTTACATTATCTTTTCAAAATTGTATTACATATTGCAATTATGTGTTTTATATAGTGTTTGTTATCTATCAAAATATTAGAAAGCCTAAAAATCAATATGTAAAATAATATTAAAAGAATATCCTATCCAAATAAGAAGAAAATAAGTACACTGTTTGCACTAGAAAGACTAACAAAATCAAAGAATGACCCACAAAAAAGTAGGTCATGATTCTAATGTCTTTGTCATGACCGATAAAGACAAAGTACGAGTCAAGTCTGTTATAATTACGTACGATTCTGAAATAAGCCGTTTAGACATTTTAAAATATTTTCAAGGCAAACTTAAAAAAATTGTGGATCACTCTTTACATGCTGTTCACTTTTTCATTTGTATCTTATTTATTACTTCAATATCTCACTTGTAACTTTTATCTTTTACAGAGAACGACTGCGAAGAAACATTCAAAACCATCCTCGGTTACCTAAAAGCGTTCTGCCATAAGAGAAAAAAAGACTTAGGAAGGATATGTATTTGCGTATTGCTTTCATCGTGTGCCATTTTGCTTTACGTGTCCATTGTACATCACAAAGACTTGGTCTTAGATCCAAAACCACTCTACGGCCGCAATATTGGAAATTTCACCATATACTACGTCAGTGATTGGGGTGGAAAGACCGTTACTGGTATTTTAGATAATCCTCTGCCTGTGGGGTTAGTGATTGTTGGACATACGGGTACAGAGACTTGTTTCAGTTTTGAAAAGTGTTCAGAGATACTAAGAGTGTTACAGATATACCAAACTACAACATTAGGCTACGGAGATATTTGTGATAACTTTTTTATCGGTGGGAACGGGAATATATACGTCGGGAGAGGATGGGACACCAGAAACTGCTATCTGAGTAAACTGAGTATTGCCATCAGCTTCATCGGGGACTTCAACAAGGTCCATTTGAACGAACACATGAAAACTAGTTTCAAACTCTTGTTGCAACAAGGCATCAATTTATCCAAATTGCCTGAAAACTATTTGATGGTGGCATACAACCAAACTGTCATTAGTAATAACCCTGGTGATAATGTTTACAAATATATCAAAACTTGGCCGAATTTTTCTGATATAGATTTGAGGAGATACAGGTTCAAGGATATGTGTTCTATTTATAAAGCGCCTCTTGGGAAATCGGAATGTTGGAGTAGGGTAAATACCACACGAATCTTGTAAAATATACGTAGAATTATCTGTGTCATTTTGTTTAATAAATAGCTATTTAGGTAAAGTAGTTTTAGTTAATTGGAGAAGAAAAATTATACGAAAACAAGACTCGTACACAGATGGTAGGTATTCGCAAGGTGCAAAGTATATGGTGTGGACAGTCGAATCGACAGCAGCGTTCGCAGTGGACAAAGTAGGCATTAAATCTGGATTTTGTTGTGAATAAATTAATAAAAGAATTTAAATATCTCCTGAACGGTTGGATTTACGAAAATTTTTCGTTCTAGCTAATTTGTAGAGAACATTTTTCTCCGTCGAATGGTGAATAATTAATTTTCATAAGGTTATTAGTTTTTGAGTTTTAACAAAAATTTAAATTGAACTACATTTAATTTTTAATTATTACGCCATTATATTAAAAACTATTGAGTTTTGGAAAATTTTGCAAGAATACAAATTTGTTAATCATACTTTTTTCTTGCCAATAAAGCAATTTCTATACGGAATCATCCCCATTATGTCATTATTTATAAAACATACATATAATGATGTGTCGTAAGGTGGTAACGTTACTGATGCTTGTCTTATAATTTTTGATGTTTTTAAATAACTTTTACCGCATTTTCTAAATTCTTTCACTTCTCTGACATGATCTGCCTTACCAGTTGTTCTTCTTTGTACATAGTTTGAGGTTGAAACAATATCTCATGAGATACTGCCTCAAATCCTGTTTGAATAATGATGTTCATTGGCAGAGAATTTATTAAAACATATTAATAGCAAAGAAAATAGCTCAGAGTAAGTTAATAGTTTAAATTTTTAAACTGACCTTTTTTTGACAGTTAATTTTCTGTTCTGTTCTTCTTTATTTTTGGCCTTTATCTATTCAGCATTATTCTATTTAAAATAAAATGTATTTTGTACTCATTAAAATTACTTATACTTACTTTTTTTAATCGCGATATGTAATATTTACTATTTATTTATTATTTATCACGTATTACACTTATATTTTACAGCTATTTTCTTTTTATTGTGTATTTATAAAATTTTTACATGTAATTCATCATTGATAGGGCCAGATTTAATGCGGTCACAAGATGTCGCTTCCTTCGCGCACCCGGCGAATATGTCAATTGTAGATCATTATTATGTTTCATATTCGCTGAGTGCGACGTCATGGTGGGGGAAACAAAAGGGATACTAGCGCAGGCTGCGGATAATTCGTTCATTTTAGGGCGATATTTTGTAATTTTGGCATATCAAATACACCTATACATTTTTTCTTCAACAAAGTAGGTAAAAACAATACAATGAGCAAACCGAGCTGCTGTGTTGAAAATTGTGAAAATACTAGCAAAAAAAAACAGTATAAACTATAAAAATTTTCAGTAAATAAGTGAAAATTAAATCAAAGAAATAAATGGATACAGTAAGAAGAAAAATTACTTTTATTTTTGTAATAATAACAGTAATACTGGAAATAGTAGACATCAGAAACTTGAAATAAACAATAAATATAATTTTACGATGTTCTTCAACATCCCTTTAATCTTAAATATTCAGCAAAAACTGGATTTCCTCCTTTGATTATTGTATTTTGTGACTTACTGGTGATATGAAATCAGTTTTAATCATACATTCTATGTTTTCTTTTGAACAAAAATGAAAATATAAATAACAATCCTTGTGTTTATACATTTTAACTTCACGCTATTATTTAAAAGTATTTTTTTATTTTGACAGAATAGGTTAATTCTTCAAAGACAACCTATGAGACTCAGGAAACTTCTCATACATTTTCCAGTAAATACTTTTGCCCGCCTTCATTTTATTATTGATTTTTATTGAATATAGGGGAAGGTTGGCACCCTTCGTACAGTTTTTGTTCTCATCCATGCCGACTTGAGATAAATAATATATATATTTTGTTTAATTCAATTTATGGTACATACATTTAACTTTGTACAATTGAAAAAAAAAACTATAAAACACAATACAACTTCTTCGAGGTAATTTAAAAAAAAGTGGGGGAATGTATGAATGTACTCCTTGAATGGGGCGCTTTCGTACATTATATGGGGTACCTTAGTACACTATGGGGTAGGTTCGTATAAAAATTTTAAGAACAAAATCATGTTTTTCCATTTTCTTGTGTTTTTGTATATGCGAAATTTTCCCGGCTGCCTTCCCTTCTTTGTTTGAATCTTCTTTTCAATTTTAGGATATGGACGAACCATTTCTGAAGTTATTAACTTAGAGGTAGATGCTTTGGCTAGTTGTGGTGCTAGTGAAGTTTCTATTAATTGAAATATTGGCTCCGTTAAGGTTTCTAGATAATTTATTGGTATTTGAGGGACATCTTGAATGGAAATATCAGTGGTTTGATCCACAGTGAGACAAATATCTTTGGTATCTGAAGTAGATTCAGCAGACTGATAGACTTGAACTGGGGCAAATTCCTCATGACTAAATGCCAGTGTATTGAATGGCTAGATCCCAGGCTTACTAAACCCACTCAAGATATTCTTAGCTGTAAATGATTTAAAATAAGCTATTTTCGCTAATTTTGGAATATTGTATATATTAAGCGTTTTACCAGGATTATTCACATGCCAATTATTGAACGCGGTTTTTAATTTTGATTTAAATGGACCAAATACACCCACGTCCAATGGTTGCAAACGGTGGGATGTGTGAGGCGGAAATGAAAGGTAGATGATAGCTGAAAATGAAACGTGAGTTTCGTGGTTGTCACAAAGTAACAAAATAGGGTGAATTTTAACTCCAAAAGCTGAGATTGTCCGGGAAAAAGGACATCTAATATTATTATTTGCCGTGGCGCTCCGGGGCGACTTAAAAACCCCACCCACCATTATCGAAAACGATGAACTCGTAAATTTTTGTAGATATTTCAGAACTTCTACAAAGATATCAGAATTAATCCAGCCACTTTTATTAGCCACTCCCATACTGCCCTCAGGAGCTCCTTCCATACTGGCTTCTAGAGCGCCCTTAAAATGAACGCGAGAAAACACAAATAGAGGAGGGATTGTGTTTCCACTTGTTGATATGATAGCTCCAAATGTAAGAAGTTTTCCTCTCTTGGCAGAAATTAATTGGCCCATTTGTTTTTGCCTTTTTTTTTGCCAAAATTTTAGGTGTATTTAGTACGGTCGATATTTCGGACTCATCAAAATTGAAAATCCTATCTGAAGAAAATTTATATCTATTGTAAAGTAATTCTAGATTTTTGTAGAATTCGTTCACAGCTTTTTTATTAAAACCAAAGAACTTGGCAGCACTTGTGTTCTCTGGATTTCTTAAACTTAAATTTTAATTGCGTTTTCGAAAACCATGCATCTAATCTTTCCCCGTCATCCATGTACCTCTGTTGTCGCGAAAAATATTGATGCTGTGCGTGAAATGATTTTGTCAGATCGACATGTGACCTATCGTGAGATAGAGGCATCCTTAGGCATTGCAGCGAAACAAATACATACGATTTTGCACGATCATTTGCATGTCAGGAAGCTTTGCAGTCGTTGGATCCCACACAATTTGAAAGAAGAACAAAAACAGGCACGTGTCAAGTGGTGCAAGGAAATGCTAAACAAATTCGAAGGGGGTCGTTCAAATTCGGTATATAACATCGTAACAGGTGACGAATCTTGTATATATTCATATGAGCCTGAAACTAAACAGCAATTGACTGTATGGGTGTTCCAAAATGAACCTAAACCCACAAAAGTGATGCGTTCACGAGGCGTTTCGAAAAGAATGATTGCTTGTTACTTCGGAAAAATGGGTCATATTGCAACTGTTGTATTAGAGGATCAAAGGACAGTTAATTCTGACTGGTATACTTCAATTTGTTTGCCGGAAGTTATCGCTGAAATCAGGAGGAACAACATAAACCGGCGAATCATTCTTCATCATGACAATGCAAGCGCTTACACAGCACGACGAACTGTATAGTTTTTGACCAGTAACAACATCCAATTAATGACTCATTGCCCACATTCGCCTGATTTATCGCCCAATGACTTCTTCCTATTTCGACATATCAAAAATAAAATACGTGGCGAGCGTTTTTCATCGCCTGAAGAGGCTGTTGAAGCATTTAAATCACTTGTTTTGAAGGTACCTCGCTCAGAATGGCAAAATTGTTTTGAAGATTGGTTTCATCGGATGCAAAAGTGTTTAGATTTTAAAGGAGAATATTTTGAGAAGCAATAAAGCGATTTACATAACGTAATTTGTGTTTTGCTTTACATTTTCCGCGAACTTTGGCAGTGTCCCTCGTACTATACAATTTAGCGATAAAGTAAAAAACTTGGGGGTGTGGTTTGATAAAAACTTAAAATTTTCACACCAAATTAGTAACTGTTTACAAAAAGTTTATGCAGCTCTAAAACTTATATTTCAATCTCGTTACGTTCTGGATAGATCGGTTAAAATCCTGCTATGTGAGTCATTAGTATTATCTAAATTAAATTTTTGTGACATTTTATATAATTCTTGTTTAAATTCTAAAAGCATACAAAAATATATTTTTAGGGCAATAAAACCATAAATTTGTAAAATACTTTTTTTTTCGTCCGAATACTTTATTTTTTCCTATTCACATAATTTTATACGTTTTTTTTTTAGGTAAAAAATTTGGCATCCCTTGTTACAGGATAAAAGAAATTTTAGGATTAATAGGATATATTTAGGACTCATTTAACATAAACTGCATTTCTAAAACCAAAAATAAATGCTACTTACAATAAATCTAGTGAATTATTTCATATTTTATCATTTGTTTACTTCCATCAAAATTTCCTTACTATTTCAAACTTGAGAATCCATGTAGATTTCAAATTGAGAATCCATGTAGAATTTATCTAGAAGGAAAAAGGACATAAGTATCCAAATAATAACCAATTTTTACTATTTGTTACATTTCAAAACAACTTAAAATCATTTCAACAGGAAACCAAATTATTGAATTAGTTTTGTTTACATTTTCACATGTCATAAGTCACAAAAGTCGATTTTATTGAATGACAATTAGAATGAATGATTAGTAATATGAATTAAGTAATCATTCATTCATCTACCAGTTCTAAGAAATGTACTAGAACTAGACTTTTAATTAAAAGATTTTGTCTTTGTCTACCAACTAGATTAGACATAAGTTAGTCTCTTTTCAAGTATTAGAACTTATAAACTAACAAACTATTTAATAATTTGGAGGGTCTTATCAAAAGGGAATATGCCATTTTGTTCTTCTTGTGAGAGCTTTCGTCAAGAACAAGTGTCCCAACATTTTTTTGTGGATTTTTCAAAAAGTTTTAGTGATCAAGAGATTTCGAATAATTCTAGTGAATAGAAATTCGACAACCAAGGGTTGGATTCTCCAAACATCCATAATTATTGTACATAACTTCTGACGTTATATTCCTCTCTAAACGTCGCCATCACGGACATCATCCAGACCATCCATGGAGAATCATTGACTGGTCTCATACGTCCCTAGTCTCATCCCCTTGCGATCGATCCAGATCCAGACACTAGCCAGAGCCACGGAGAATCATCGACTGGTCTCATACGTCCCTAGTCTCATCCCCTTGCGATCGATCCAGATCCAGACACTAGCCAGAGCCACGGAGAATCATCGACTGGTCTCATACCGGAGGTATACCTAGTCTCATTCCCTAACCTGCTATACAAGGTAACCTTTCTATGCTTTATTAATCGGGATTCCGGACTGTGTTATTGGACATTCAAACGTGAAATCGCGTGATATATTTTGAGAACTATTAGGCTACTCGAATTTGTACATATATATTTAGTTGTAAATTTTTATCGAGCTGATTAGTTCATAGTATAAACTTACCATATCTTAACAATATATTGAACTTGTCCGATTATTTCCAGCCTTAAGCGTTGAATACTTTTTTTTGTAAAATATTTGATTACGAATCACGTTGTGGTTCGCCAAAAATATGCATATTTAAGGTCTATCTAAAATTAGTAAATACAATATTATAACATAAAATCTCTAACTAATAATCTCTAATTACCTCCTATTGTAATATTCCATATTGAGATTATTCAATTTTTAAAACAATTAATAATTTATAAAATATTTGTGACACTTAACTTTAAAATCTTGTAACATAACCACACTATCTAACACATGGTAAGACAACCAGGTTAAAATAAAAAGAAGACAATAAGACTATTCCGGTCCTAGTATTCATCATAAATAAAGCCACGTAAAAGGTAATCGATTAGTTTTTATTGTAATCATCCCACATAATCATCCCCTCAAGTACCCAACTCCTGAGAAATAACCAACAACGCCTTATTATATGCACTGCACCCAGTTTCGGCGTTGCTCAACAAAAATATCCTAACGATATTCCTGTTTATATACTCTAAGAGGAACTAAATCATCTAATTATCACGTTTGCAATTATTAAACCTCTTATAAATTATAAATTTAAAATCATCAAAACAAGTTAATTCCATAAAGACTGTAGCAAAATACACGAACACTTTCTTATCTTGTTCCACCACTCTCATATCAATATCATCGCTTTGTTGTTCGTCCATTTTTATAACCATTTAAAATAATTTTCGTACGAGTATGTACTTGACAATCGCGATAAGTTTGTAAACGATACGTTAGTATATTAAATCTATATGTACCTATTTTTGTTTTTTTGGCAAACCCAAGCTATAATCCGGTGCCAAAATTGGTGATAATGATTCTAAATGTCAGTGACTAATTATGTTGATTCAGTTTCCATGGGTAGCTCTGATGTAGCGATCAGAAACGATGTCGATGTTGAAGGATACAACAAGTGTCTGGATATCAACGAGTTCAGTGTAGCGGCTACGAATCGGGAATTGGTTAACCTTGAAAATGCCGCTGTCAACATTGACAGTTCGAGTGACGTCATCATCGGTCCTGTGACGCAATTTCATATTAACGGGAATGTAACTATTCATCAGAAGAACGAGCGATTGCCTACTGGGATGGAGCAGAACGATGATATTGGGAATGTTTATAATACCAACTCCAAAGGTAGGAAATATTTATTTTTTTGTAATTTTATTATTTGTGTATATAAAGTTTTTCCATTGTACCTCAAAGGAGATAATGTTATATTTTATGCTGAGATCGACAAAGAAAAACAGGTCCGGCCTCCGGCAAATTTTAACACGGGTTTAAAATTTGTCTCAAAATTTGTATGTTCAATAATAAATAATAAACAATGAATTTCAAAATTACAAATTAATAAATAATAGGGTGTTAAAGTTAAAAATCTGATGTGTCCAACACATGACTTTCCTATCTAAGTAGTTATTAACTATAGGCTTTTTCCGGATTTTTTGTACAACCTATTGCAGCATCTCTATAAATATTTAGAGGATAAACTAAATATATACATTTTCCCATACATCTACCTCGAAACATTTTTCAATAGATATTCATTGAAAACGAAAATACCGAAAAATTTAAATTTAGCACTCTTCCTCCAATTTTTCCATTACGGTCCATTTTAGAAAAATCATGTATAAACAAAAATTATAGAGATCGATATCGCAAACAACTTTAAGTTCAACAATTTTCATAAAAATCAGAATTTTGCACATTTTGTCAAATTTCTCGAATACGGACCATTTCAGGAAATTTTGACATTAAGCAAAAATTATAGATAATAATTTTAAAAGTAACTTTTATTTAAACAATTTTCTTCTCCAAACATAAATAAGAGACATATTTCATGATATATAAAAACCGCCGCCCATAAAGAACCCTTCAGATGTTCCGACTTTGTCCAAAATTTAATCATTTCAGGTCTGGCCGAAATAAAACAAGTTTAAAATTTAATAGTTTTTATCCGTTTTTGAGTTTTCTTCAAAATTCGAAATTTACACATTTTCTCAAATATCTCAAATACGGTCCATTTTAGGAAAATTTTGTATGGAACAAAAATTATAGATAATAATATTAGAAGTAACTTTTAATTAAAGAATTTTCTTCTCTAAACGTAAAGACCAGATATATTCCATAAAATATAAAAATGACCACCCATAAAGTACCCCCCAGATGTTCCGACTCTGCCCAAAAACTAATCAGTCCATTGGACGATGGAATAAAGCAGGCCGGAATAAAGCTTAAGTTTAAAATTTGGTGTTTTTATGTGTATTGGTTCATGAGTTATGGTGGACACACACACACACACACACACACACACACACACACACACACACACACACACACACACACACACACACACACACACACACACACACACGCACACGCACACGCACACGCACACGCACACGCACACGCACACGCACACGCACACGCACACACACGCACACGCGCGCACACACAGAGAGAGAGACAGGGAGACATCATCGCGAAAATAGTCGAAATTCAGGGGACCCCAAAACGTAAAAATCCGTCGAAAACTGGAGGTCGAAAAAATCATGATTCCTATACTTTCCTATCTGTATACAGATAGGAAAGTAAAAATTGCTAATTTTTTCGGAATTTTTATTTTCTAACTTATTAGACGATAAGCTGGCGACACAAAAGTATTTTATTATTTACAGTTTCGATTGTTACCAACATAGCGAGAGGCAGGCAGTCAGAAGTCACCCTGGAAATATAAAGTAAGGGTAGGGGGTTAAACATACAATTTTTTTCGCAAAATAAGTGATAAGGTACAACGCTGAAAACTTGCAGTATTATCGGAGATAGTATAAGAAAGTATAGAAAAAATTGTCTAGGTGGAAGAAAAAAAGTCGTCAGAAGGCGCTCATATTGAGAAAAATTTAGCAACAATGATGTCACTAGGTGTACTTCTGACAATTTCTGTAATTTGTAATCTGTAATTCAAAATAAAATTACTTGCAAATCGTCAGAAGGCTAGGTGGAGGAAAAACGTAGATATTAGCGATAGTGAGAATGCCGGTGCTCCAATCGCTCCATCATCTCGTATTTTATAGTTTATTCCATTCAGTTTAGTCCTGATGATTTATCAACATTATTTTAAAATATCTTAGTACTCCATTGGTCAACTGTCAGAAGTCTAGAAAGACATTATTTTTTTTATGGAATAACAAAAAATGAAGGCAAAATAAAAAATGTTTTGATTTTTTTTATTTATTAGTTCAAGAGAATGTATTATTGTATGGAAGTCAATGGAGGACAATTTGAACATTTAATTTAAAAACGCAGTTTTGATTTTTTTGATTGTAAGCATTATAAAACAATTATTTTTTTTAAGAATGTGATTTTTTTCATACACCGTTGTAAAGAGGCTTCCAAGACCTTACAAATGAAGTATCACTCAACCCCTCTTCCCAATTCAATTTTGAGGGGTTGAAGCGCCTCCTCATAGGGGGTTGCTCGTTCAAGCCTAAAATATACGTCAAAAGATGTCCCCCAAAGAAAATCATCCGATGTGTTTTGGGAAATTGTTCCAATTACTATGGTATAAGAAATATACAAGGTGGCTCGTCTGAGATGGAACACCCTGTACATAGTTTGGCCATTACCTTTTAAAAACTACACAAGTTGACAAAAAATTTATTATTTTTTGTGTTTCTGTCCCAATGCTTGAATTCTGATTCTAGACATCAAAAAACACTTAAATTTCCATTTTTAGCTTTTAAAGTTTGCTTTTGTTTGATTTACGTCGATAAGTAAGTTTTGAAGATTATAATTCATTTTATGAGCAACAGATGATCAACCCAATAGCAAAATGCATATTATTTGTGAAGGACACAAGTAATGAGTATTTACTTGTCTATCACAGGTGTAGTAACAAGCGCCTTTGTGTGTTACTAAGTTATAAAATTGCATCAAGACAGTGTAAACAGGATGTTGACTTATTCTACTTTATTTGCGAAGCTTATGAAGCCTATTTTAACCTCAAAATACGGAATCAAGATTAAAAATGGGTACCTCAGTTTGCCTGTGTTATTGCAAAAATACTTAAGAAGGTAAAAAACTAAAATTTTTAATTTAAAAATTTTGTATGCATAAAACTTAAATTATACTAGTTGTTTTTGTTATTGGTATCGAGGGCAAAATCGACACATGAACTTTTCAGTACCAAGACTTTGGAGGGAACCTAGTGATCATGTACAAGACTGTTATTTTTGTATCGTTAATTCAACTAAGGTGAAAATGCTGAAAATATGTTTTATCCTGATCCTCCTTCAACGTCTTCTCCAATACCTCATGGTGAACATTTTCCCGTCTTATTTCGTTCAGTATTAGATAACTTCGAAATTTAGTCGCCACAAAGTTTTGGACCATATTTCATCAGCTCAACAGAATTCAAAGTACGAGATTTAAACTTACCCAAGAATAAAACAAAGATTTTAGGTGCACCATTAAAACAGTGCAATTTGTTTGAAGATGATGGGAAAATAACTGATTAAAGAGAGCACTATAAAATGTTTTCGTGTTTTTCACCAAAGAAGCCGGAATTTGTTACTGTAATGGCGTGACTGATTTATTCAAATAAATCAAAATACCATGCATACCTTCTGACTGCCGGCTTTTTATCGATAGCTCTTCTAGAAGCTTAAAAGCAGTTTTTCTAGTGTAGCCGTAGCACATTCTGCAATGCTTAAGGAGAGTTACGATAGTGTGAAAATGATACTAGAAAAGTTAAAATTTACAGATTACAATTGGCCAGTAATAGACGATTTTAAGATGGTTGGTTTTCTGATGGGAATGCAAGGTGGGTAAACTAAATACCCTTGTCACCTTTGCTTATAGGATAGCAGAGCAGATTCATTACATTACCAACGGCGTAAATGGCCTGATCGAGTCAGATTTCATATAGAAAAACATAATGTCTGGGACTAATAAAGCAATTTGTAAAAGCTCTGGATCCAAATTCTGAAGCTTTTTACCCAAATTATCTGAAACTAAAGTAAAAGCGGGTATTTTCGTCGGACCACAAATAAAACAAATAATGAGCAGTGCTGATTTCACAGAATTCCTCAATGCTCATGAAAAACAAGCCTGGGCGATTCTTAAAGTAGTAGTTAATGGTTTTCTGGGTAACAACAGCGCTGACAATTATAAAGAGTCGATTGAAACTAGTCTTAAGATCTTTAAAATAATGGACTGTAGAATGTCTCATAAACTCCATATGCTACAATCTCACCTGGATCAACTTGGATCAATATAGGTGCCTACTCAGAGGAGCAAGCAGAACGTTTTCACCAAGATATGATGGACTTTGAACAACGTTACCAAGAGTAGTACAACGAGAATATGATTGAAGATTACATTTAGGGTTTAATACGAGAAAGTTTATACAAACATAAGAGACCTACTAAAAATATTCATTTCTGAACTTGACTTTTTGTTATGCTATTGTTTAACACAATTCTTAAATTAAAAAGACTGATGTTCGGCAAAAACTTTGTTAATCGCAAATAAAAATTAAATTTAAAAAAATATGTAAAAATCGGCCATTTTTATTAAAAATTCGAAAAATTGCTTTAGTTTCTAGAAAAGCAAACTTTGATCAGAAAAATTATTTTTTCATTTATTTGTAACACAGAAGAAACCAAAATTTCACATGCAGAAGTCAGACACAAAAATCGTGCCGACCGGTGTTAATTAGAAGTGACCAGAATTACAAAACATACAAAACCTTTTTAACATTCGGACTCGCCCTCGTCAGTAAGTAAAATTCAAAAATTTTACTACAACGTTTATTTTTTCTTCTTTTTACAGATATCGAAGCCGACCAACAGGAGCAAACCGAATGCAAAAGACGTTCCAGTATAAATTACATCAAATGGATTTGTTTCCTGATCGTAGCCACCTTTGGAATTTTGACAAGAGTCAAATTGGTACTTAAAAATCTTCAACAGGACGTACAAGAGATGGTCGGATACCACGCAAAAATGAAAGTTTTTTATAAACAAGACTGGGGTGGTGTAGTTGTTAATAGAACGCGTTTGAGCAGTTACGTACACTTGCCTGTACCGTTTATCATTATCAAACATACGGGAGGCGCTTTTTGTCAAACAGAGTCAGAATGTAAACAGTTGACGAAGGAACTGCAGTCGAAACACTTGGCTTTAAACTACAGCGACATAGCTTATAATTTTTTAGTTGGAGGTGACGGAAATTTGTACATAGGGAGAGGATACGAGTATCCGAATGAATATAGCAGATACAGTTATGACATAGTCGTACACGGGAATTTTTTGTATGATCAGTTTTATGATTTTATGGAAAATGTAACGCAGACTATTATAAAAGCAGGTCGTTTTGTCAATGTGATTGATCAATATTATGTTGTTTTGTGCGAAAATCAAACGGAAAGGGTGGACAGTCCAGGCAGGAATATATACGAAAAAGTGAAACTGTGGGAGCATTATCGTAATTTTACTTTTCTTCATACACAATTTCCTAAATGAATAGAGGTAGTCCTCAGCTGAGAAAATAGCCCCCCCCCCCCCCCCCCTGCTAAATAGTATATCAGGAACAGTTAGAAAATGATCTGTAATATTTTATTTTTTTATTTGGTACAGTATACCTTGTAACAATTTCAAATAAATGGAAATTTCTGAAAAGCAAAAGTCCCACTGATCCAGGTACATTGATTTTGTAAGTTAGACATACACAGGAATCATAAAAGTAAGAAAAACGTCTTTTAGAGCCACCATATGTCGACATCATTTTTACAGAATTAGGTCGACGGAGTAAGAAAAGCATAGCTAGATCATCAATTGCTATAGAAGCAGAAAGCAGGGAGATATGCAGGAGTTTTAAAAATGTACACTGGCAATCTAATGTTAATACAATTAACAAACTTGTATAATCTTTGAAAACGAGAATAATGGTGGAGGTGGTGGCAGTAATACTCATAGGGGTATTTTCTTGAATAGAAAATATTCAGCAATTTCTTACTATGTATCAACTGGAAGAAGACTTATTTTTAGATGAACAATACATCTATTTCAGTTAAAAATTTAACATATAACTAATTTAAAAAAAATAACTGTTATACAAATTTAACGTGTCTGTCTCAGATAAATTATAAGATAAAAACCAACTATCTTCTGCAGTTTGCCTGCAACAGTATATTCCTCTGGTAATATATTTTAGTTAGAGCTTCTTTAATCTCATATTTCTTTGTTTTTATTTTATAGTTTGTTCCGGTTTTAATTTAAATAGTAAAAAATAAATATATTAATCGATTAAATGATACACATTTTGACAAGTTATATAAAGTTGAATGAAACTTACGCTTTTAAAAATAAAACATAGATTTAGAAGTTGATAATTTAATAGTTTAAAGTTTGGTTAAAGTTAACCTACAGAAAATGTAAACATTTCATTCTGACAATCATCTGTCAACCTTGACATTTCTTCTTCTAGTGTAACTAGGGCCTATTTCAGTTCTTAAATGTTCTATGGCAAGGTTATGATTTATTATTTGAACAGATGCAATTTTCCCTAAAATTTCAATAGTTGGCTGTATTGGTCGGCCATTAAATCAAAGAACTTCCTTCCTTTTTGGCTCTTTCTTTGATTGCATGAATTTGTTGGGTACATGTGGTGCCTGTGCAAATTTATCGAATTTTATTTGGAATAAAAGCCATATATTAGAGACAATTACAACTATCACTAGGAAACTACATTGTCCAGTCTTGACAGCACTTCTTGTGAATAAAGTAGTTCATAGCACGGCCCTACCCTATATTCGACCTTTTAATATTGGGTTTAGAGACCTATAAATTGCTTGCAAGAGCTAAATTAGAACCTTTAACGTTTAACGCTTACCGCTTACCTGCTTTTTGCTATGGACTGCAGGTGACTCTTACTGCCTGTCTCCATTAATAGCTACTTGCTGGACCACAACGGCATGCTTACTAGCTTCTAGGCCCATGTATTTGTGAATGCTACATCTATACTGCTCTCTATTTATTATTAGCATGCATGACAATTAGTTACCTATAGTGAGACCACCCTATACAACTTGGATCTGCTACAAACAAGTAAGAACTTTCCTTTTATTCTTCTAAGGTTGATAAGCTGAACTGGAACCTCAGCCTATTATTCCCGGCTTGTACAATATTGATATTATTTGTAGTGGCTAAATACCTAAAAGAA